TGTGTGTGTGTGTGTGTGTGTGGCCTACCAGCAGACCAACACCATCAGGAGTCACCGCTATATGCTCCTAAATCTTCTCATCTAAAACAGCGAGTTGTTCGCGTTACGACCCCGTCGCTCTACCGATTTTTTACTCCGCATAGCGACACACACAAAAACCACATGCCTCCGGAAAACATGACGTCGCCTCTTACTTGCGGAACTCGGATGACGTAATCGCTATTCGCCATCACATGATGCTGCCGTAACCAGAGTGTTACTTTGAATTTCCGTTCCTCATTTATTGTGTATATACATTCATTGTGTATATTCATTCATTGTGTATATTCATTCATTGTGTATATACATTCATTGTGTATATTCATTCATTGTGTATATTCATTCATTGTGTACATTTATTTATTGTGTATATACATTTCAATATGTAGGTGTTAAAGATTCTTGTAGAGGGGTAGCTCCGAGCTCCGATCGTCAACGACAGAAGATTGGCCTCTCCAGACCTAACCAGTCTTATAAAGTGGCTACACTCAACTGTAGAACTCTACGCTCTGCATCTTCTCAAGCTGAGCTCAACAAACTCATGAATGACTATTCTATATCCTAAACCGGCATCCAAGAACATCGTTTTGTACATTCTGACTCCGATCCGGAAATAGTTGCTCGCGATCTTGGCCGGGTAACTCTCTTCACTGCATCGGCCGTTCGAAATGACTGTGGCGCCTCTATTCGTGGAGTCAGCATATTTATAGATTCAAAGCTGCTACCTTTGCTTCTCTCAGTTAAAAAGTTAGATGAGCGTATCGTCTCTGCCACGTTTAGGGGGAATCCCAAAACAGTAATACTTGCCTGTTACTCACCGCACAACAGCATGCCAGATGATGTCGTTAATGACTTCTATTCAAAACTAAGCAACGCAGTTGAAGACATTTCGCTACACTCAATGGTCATCATTGGAGGCGACATGAACGCTCAAATCTCAAAAGGTTTCTCATTGCATGATACATCAAATCGCAACGGCCTTCTTCTCTTTGACTTCATAGAACAACACAATCTTGTCATCGGGAATGTCTCTTCCCAGAAATCGTTGAATAAATTATGAACACTCAGGTCGCCCACGGGTGTATTATTCCAAATCGACGTCTGTATGTATCGAAAAAAATGGCGTAATAGTATCAGTGATTGCCAGGCTTTCTCAACACCAAACCCGATTGGAAGCGATCATCGCATCGTAACAGCAAAAATCAAACTTAGTCTGCAGCGCTCAAAAACCCCGGTCACCAAAAAACTGTTCTGGCAATCACTCACATTTGATCCAGCCTTAGCCACTAAAATTGATGATACTATTTCGTCACGTTTTGAAAATCTACCTGCAGCTGATCATACTCGTCGTTTGTTAATATTGCAACCAAAACCGGTGCAGAACTATTGCCTCCAAGACCTCGGCCTCCTGCAAAAACGGTTGACGCAGAACCCGTCGTTTCCGTACGCAAGGCTACTCTTCGTGCATCGACACAAAGTGTCCATTCGGCCCAGATTAACGTTCGCAAAGCATTTGATTGTTATGAAGACAAGCGCATCAATGAAATACTTTGCTCATTTGAGACCCCAGCAGCAGCGTCTGTCATCAAGACTGCTTGGGACCTTGTCAAGAAACTCTCTGGAAAGAAATCTCGCAGCACGATATTCATCGAAGGTGAAGACCGACTCACGGCTTGGGAGAATCATTTCAAAAACTCATTGAAGGCTGAACCAGCTACACAAACTGACGGCGAACCAGTTGTGAACATCTTTGATCTCTTCACTGCGATAAAGAGTGGTGAGCTAACACAGGCAGAAGTATATATTGCCATTCGACAGTTAAGGAACGGAAAGGCACCTGGCCTGGATGGTCTACCTCCGAAGTTTTGGAAACTGAAAAGAGTTCGGAAGAGCCTATTAAAGTTCTGTAATGAGACCTATCACGAGAGACGCCCCATTGAGTGGCCTAATCCGAATTCCAAAGAAGGCGACCTAACAAAACAGACAATTACAGAGGTATTTCTCTTTCACAAGTTGCAAATTTACAACCGCTGTCTACTCAACAGAATCCGTCCAGTTATCGACGAGGTACTGCGTCCGAATCAGAATGGTTTTCGTCAAGGCCGTTCCGCCACTTTCCACATACTCGCTCTTCGACGTATCGTAGAAGAACTGAAGAATCATGACATGGAAGCCATAGTAACGTTCATCGACTTCCGAAAGGCCTTCGACTCCATCAACTGAAAGAAAATATTTGAAATCCTCGAAGCGTACGGTATCCCTCCTGACGTAGTTGTTGCGATCCGAGTCATGTACGAGAATACCTCTGCTGTAGTAATCACTCCAGAGGGTGAGACTGATGCTTTCAACATCGACACAGGCGTTCTTCAGGGTAACCCACTCGCTCGATTTTTATTTATCATCTGCCTGAATTATGCATTGCGCACATCGATCACAGAATCTGATGGTCTTACACTGAAACAACGTCGCAGCCGGCGCCACCCTGCCGATGTCTTAGCTGACCTCGACTATGCTGATGATATAGCACTTCTCGAAAATTCAATCGAAGCTGCACAATATCTTCTTATCAGAGTTGAGAAGGCCTGCCAGGATGTCGGCCTGTTTCTAAATGCACCTAAGACAAAATACATGCACCTTAATTCATCTACAGAAGATCGCCTGCACGTGTCAGATGGATCAGACATCGAACTTGTGGGCGACTTCAAGTATCTGGGTGGAAACACTGACTCTAGTATGAGAATAGCGCAGTCATGGAGGGCACTCCACTCATTGTAGAAGTTGTGAAAAGCACCAATTCAGAAAGCTACAAAAACGAAAGTATTTCAGGCTTGCATTGAAACTATTCTTCTTTATGGCTCGGAATCGTGGACATTGAATGTCACCCGCCAAAAGAGACTTGACGGCACTTACACAAGAATGCTTAGCACGTGTCCCCTCTATACAACAACAATAACAACAATAACATTAACATCAACATTAACATCATACACCTACACCAACACCTACACCTACACCTACGCCCCCTCCCATAACTACACCTACATCTACATCTATGTCTACATGTACATCCACGTGTACCATGAGTCCCGACCTCAAAATAGCACGTGGTTTCACTTGACGTGGACTCAAGGCTAAACCCCGTTGGAATTTAGCGATAGTATTGCGGTAAGTGTGGCTGCAGCTGCTACAGACCCTGGATGCTGTTTCCTCACTCGTAGGAGGGGGTTTAACATCAACATGATCCTATCTTACTCAGCTTATAGCCGTAGATAAAGAGGAAGAGAGAGAGCGCGCGAAGAGAAAGCTGGGGAGAGGTAGCGAGACAGAGGCGGAAAGCGAAGCAAGAGAGGGAGTGAGAGATGGAGAGAAAGCGAGGGAGAGGGGGAGGGGAAAGTGAGCGAAATTAAGTGATAGACTGAGAGGGAGAGAGAGACAGAGAGAGAGCGAAAGAGCGAGACAGAGAGAGAGAGCGAGGGAGAGAGAATGAGAGAGAGAGAGAGAGAGAGAGAGAGAGAGAGAGAGAGAGAGAGAGAGAGAGAACGAGAGAGAGGGAAGTAGAAAGAGAGAGAGAGAGAGATAGAGAGAGAGAGAGAGATAGAGCGATAGAGAGAGAGAGAGAGAGAGAGAGAGAGAGAGACAGAGAGAGCGAGGGAGAGAGAGATAAAGAGCGATATGTATATATATCAGGAGTAGATAAAGCCTCTTTTTCCCTTTATCTACTCCTGATATATATATATATAGAGAGAGAGAGAGAGAGAGAGAGAGAGAGAAAGAGAGCGAGAGAGAGAGAGAGAGAGAGCGCGAGGGAGAGAGATAGACAGGGAGAGAGAGAGATAGCCAGAGAGAGAGAGAGAGAGAGAGAGAGAGAGAGAGACATAGAGAGAGAGAGAGAGGGAGAGAGAGAAAGGGATGGAGCGACAGAGAGAGCGAGAGAGAGAGGGAGCGAGAGCGAGCGAGATAGCGAGAGAGAGAGAAAGGGAGAGAAAGAGAGAAAAAGAGAGAGAGAGAGAGAGAGAGAGGGAGAGAGAGAGAGGGATGGAGCGACAGAGAGAGCGAGAGAGAGAGGGAGCGAGAGCGAGCGAGATAGCGAGAGAGAGAGAAAGGGAGAGAGAGCGAAAGAGAGAAAGAGAGAGAGA